AAAAATTTTAATTTCTGCCAAAGACTGGGAGAAAATGGGGTGGGGGCACAATGAATAGGTGGAGCACTGGGTATTTTCAGTGCAGCAAAACTACTCTGTGAGATACTGTAATGTTGATATATGATATTACACATTTGGCAAAACCCACAGAACTGTAGAGTAACAAAAGTGAAGCCTGGGGCGGGGGGATGGGGGTGGGGAAGAGAAAGTGAAGAGCAATGCAGGCCTTGAGAGAAGATACACTGGTGATGGGTGTGGTGTTGGAATTATGTACACAAGAAGCCATTATTAACAGTATTGTAACAGTACTGTAAAACGGAACCTCAACCAAAAATAATGTTTAAACAAAAGATCTAATAACGTGCATCAGATGACACTATTAAATACGTTTCCTAAATAAAACCAGAAAATAGTGATGAGGACAGTCTTGATGGCTAATTATATTAAAATCTGACCTCAGGAGGTAAACAGAAATCACCTCATATCCTCAAAGAAATAGAATAATATTCCTAAGAAAGTTAAAATAAGGGATAAATTTTAAAATTATACATATGACTTCCTTCTATTAAAAACTATCTTTAGCTTCTTTATTCTGGACAGCAACTCAGGTACTGTTATATCTCCAGAGGCAAGCTCTAACATGGCCATAATTCGCAAACTAGTAAGAATGTATCCAAGTTGAAACAAAAAAGGCCTATTTTCGAATATGGAGACATCCTAAGATTAAAAATAGTACTCCCATTTGACCCAGTGATACCATTTCTTGGCATCTATCCTGAGAACATAAAAACATTAATTAAAAAAATATGAACACTTGATTTCACTCCAGCACTATTTATAATAGCCAAGACTTGGAAACAATCCATAAACTTGACCAACAATAGGTGAATTGATAAAGAAATTGTGTGTATACACACACACACACACACACAATAAAATACTACTCAGCTTATGAGGAAAGATGAAATCTTGCATTTTGTTACCTTGAATTACTACAGTGTCATGTAAAGTGAAGAGAAAGGACAAGTATCAGATGATTTCACTCATGTGTGATGTATATAAAGGAAAGAAATAGAGAGTGCTCCATGAAAACAAACTGTTGGGATTTCGACAAGAGAACTGAGATTACCAAAGTGTGAGTGGGCAGAAGGGGGCCTGGGAGAAGTGGTAGGGAGCGGCAGACTAGAAGTGACATAAAAGGCAGTGGTGGAGGGGTCTCTGGCACTTTGGTGGTGGTGGAGATACACTAATGTGTACCATAAACATTAACACTAACCATGTTATCTTAATAACAATAAATGATTCTTTCCAATTTTTTACAAAAATTTCATTAATTTTTAGAGCATTACAAAGTCGCTCATGATTGAATTTCAATCACAGTTTTGACCCGCCTATCTCTAATTGCGCCTTTTGTTCAGTTTCTTATAATTACACTGACATTTTAGTATGTACACCTCATAAATATCTTAGCTTTCAAGTGTACTAAAACAGTATATTCAATTAAGTCCTTACTAGAATATCTATTGAGTTTCTTCAAGTCCTTTAAACAATTTAGATTTAGCACATTTACACAGCAGTCCATTGCCTTAACCACTTGGCCATGAACAACAGTAGGACAGTGACAGTGACAGTGACATTTACATAGCACCTTCTGGCTCATTTCACCTTCACAGCTGTAGTTACTCTAAGATATTACTGCTTCCATTTTAATTTTGTTTTATACTTTTATCTTATTTTTATAAAGTTGTTCACAATATTTGATTACACTTAATATTCGAACACCTATCCCACCACCATTACACCTTCCCATCACCATATTTCCATCTTGAACCCCAAACCTTGACCCCAAAGCTGAACTGAAATAATTTATTTTGTATTGCTTGTTAAGAATAATCTACTAAAAATGACCCAAAAAAGGTTTTATAGAGGAAAGAGTGTGAAGATTGTTGTATTTCACCGAGGAGTCATTAAGGTCTTCTATAAGAGATTAGTAACATTGTTAAAGGTTGAGTCTTATGTATTTATATATTTATCTGTATAAATATATTCCTCCCTAAGATTGGCTGCCTTCTACTTTAAACGCTACCAAATGTGGTGTGCTACTCTTGGTATATTAGCAGTACACAGTATGAGAAGTTGTAGGGCCGTGAATGCGGCCATGCAGTCCAGGAACAGATTCACTCATGGGTGAGGCTCATCTGAGCATGTGGAAAGTGGCTGTGAGCATGGAGGGGGTTGAGTTCTGGAGGTTCTCAGCTGCTGAGGCTGGATCCGTTGGGGCGGGGAGGACCTTACCCAGCCCTCTCCAGGTTGCCCCAGAATGAAACAGCTTGGCATGGGGTTTAGCAGCATGTCTATGGTATATTGCTCTGTGCTCTCTTCCGAGAGATTATCGAGTCTCTGGATCATGGTCATTAATGAGATTATATGGCACCAGCAGCAGCTTGTGGGTGTGACTGCCAAGCTACCAGAAATAGGGGGTGGTGGGGGGAGGTCACTCATTCCCAGTTCCACTGAAACACCGGTTCCTAGTGTTTTCAGTCACAAGTTCTGCATACCCAGGTTTTTCTGCAGATTCACTCATGGGTGATTGACTCCATTTTTAAAGAGAAATAGACATATGCAAAAATTAAATAACTTATCTAAGTTGATCCAACTATAAATATATTAAACAAGTCCTACCTCTAACCATTCAACTACCTTTCTTCCCATCAAATGACAAAGCCCTCTCTCTGTAAGTTAGAAATTTATACTCACTTCACCTTTTGAAATGTTTTCCAAAACCCTACATAAAAAACAACAACCCTTTCCTCCTCTAGATCCAATGAGTCTACTCCAATTTTCAAAATTTCCTCAAATGGATCTTCTATTTCAATTTATTTCTCAGTATCCATCTATATCACTATTGATTCATGCTCAATGGTACCCTCACAATTTTTTTTTTAATTTTCTGAGAAAAACTGACCTTTAGGGAAAGACAAAACACTTCAGAGTACCTTATGGTCTTATTTTAGACTGCTACTTTCCCTTTAAAAGACAATATTCTATAAGGGCTAGAGTGATAGCACAGCGGGTTGGGCATTTGCCTTGCACATTACCGATCCGGGTTTGATTCCCAGCATCCCATATGGTCCCCCAGGCACCGCCAGGAGTACAGTGACCAGGAATGCAAGAGTGCATGAACCCTATGCATCGCCGGGTGTGACCCCAAAAGAAAAACACAAAACAAAACAAAACAAAAAAACAAAAGACAATATACTACAGCAAGTACATTTATATAATTAACTTAATAGATTCATCTATGCACTATCTCACAATCAACTTGCAAGCAGTGATCAGCATGAGTCAACAATAACTGTAGACTCCTAGAGTATAAATAAAATAAATGAGTATCTGCTAATCGGCAGGGGATGGGGCACAGGGCTAAGGCTGATGGTGTGGGGAATGGAGTAATGTTATACTTTAGTAAATGTCAATGTGATCATAAAAAGTTAGATAAACACTGCTAAAGCTACCTGAACACACACACACACACACACACACGCACACACACATACTCTCTCTCTTTCTCTCTCACACACACACACACACTCTCTCTCTCTCTCTCTCTCACACACACACACACACACACACACACACACACACACACACCAGGATGTATTTCATGTTATGTTATTACAAAACAGAAACATTCAGATGGGGCTGGAGAGAGAGTACAGTGGGCAGGCATCTGCCTTGCATGCAACTGACCCAGGTCCAATCCCCAGAATTCCATATGGTTCTCAGCATCATCAGGAGTGAACTCTGAGCACAGAGCCAGGAGTAAGCCCTGATCACTGCTGGGTGTGCCTGTCCCCCACCCCTCCAAATAATAAAAAAAGAAATATTCAGAATTCAAGCTAGTTACACCAGATTTTTTGATAACAAAGTTAAAGCAGTTCTAATTTGGCAAAAAAGCCTCTTTTTGTTTCGTTCACACACCTGGTGGAGCTCTGGTCTTGCTCCTGGCTCTGTCTCTGCAATGCTAAGGGGACCACACACAGTGCTATGGAATGAACAGGGCTGGCTGCTAATAATCTCTGTTCTATTTCTCCAGACCCCGAAAGCAAGTCTTAATTGTCTACTAATGGTACCAAACCTACAAAATAACAAAATAAGTATTTGTTTTCTCAGTTTTTTAAGAAGGCAGAATGAGTAATGGTTAGAGCAAAAGCTCTGTGTGATTCTCATTTTGTTTCAACTGCAAAATAAAGACCATCTTATGCGTTGTTGAATTTATTAAAGAGACAAGATCACTGTGTTCTTAGTGTGTAATGTTTTTACATTCATGTTCCTTCTCTTCATTTTTGTATATTGTATCTTACTCTTTGCTTCCTTGTCTAAAATATTAACATCTCTACCATTTAAGGTAGATATGAAAATTAAGAAGATTTCTTGGTACATAAGTGGTAGTTTTATGAAAGTCAGCATTCTTATTCCTTTAGTATTACTAGGGGAAAGCAGAATCAAAGAACCACAGAACTTTATTTATAAGTTCTGGATAAGACAAGGGAAATGTACAAGTTTTTCAAAGAACCGTGTACATGCTTTAGAGAGCAGGAAGACTAGTGAGCAGAATAGGAAGAAAAAGCAGTTATATTATTATGTAATGTAAATCCATCATTTAACATAACTCATAATTCCATAATTATACAAAGTATTCATAACAATCGTCAGGTACAGAGTTAAACTTAGTTAAAATATTTAAGAACTTTGTCTAAAATAAAACTCTAGTAATTAAATATAAATAAATTTAAACATTAATAAAAATATAATTTAGAAGGTGATTCTAAGTCCCATTATATAATCATCTTATGAAAATAAGACATTCTAAATTAGATTTTAAAATATGAATTAACAGGATTCCACTATGGTAGATTTCACTATTAAAAATTCTACATCCTTCTGAATTAAATACATGTGTACTAGATATAAGAAAATAAATATTTCAATTTTCTTACCTGTTGTGTTCCATCGGCACTTACAATAGGAGCAGTTAGAAGAGAAATATCACTACTTAAAATCTGAGTTGTATCCAGTAGTGGTGGATGTTCTGCCATTATCAATAAGACATTAATATACCGTATAACCCTCCAATTCTGAAAAACAAAAATATATAGCCATTGGTGTGTATATCCTTAATACATTAAAATACATTTAATATTTGTCTCATTTTTTAATCTAAAGAGATATTATCCTCAAGGGAAATTATAAGATATCCTGTTGGCAATTTTTTGCCAACAGAGCATTCAAGGAAATACTGTTCTCACAATTTAACCAATTACCAATACAAACAATAAACAAGGAAATATTAAAACCAGTGTATCAGCAGTATCTACTTAAATTTATTTTTATTCTTTTTTTTTCTTTTTGGGTCACAGGCAGCGATGCTCAGGGGTTATTCCTGGCTCTGCACTCAGGAATTACTCCTGGAGGTGCTTGGGGGACCATATGGGATGCCAGGGATCGAACCCAGGTCGGCTGCATGCAAGGCAAACGCCCTACCCGCTATGCTATCGCTCCGGCCCCTATTCTTGCTATCTCTTTTACTTCTATACAATATTTAATTTAATGTATTCTGTTTGAGCTGTGCTCAGGGTTTATCCTGGGCTATGTGCTCAGGGGTCAGTACTGGCAGGCTTGGGGATTATATAAGGTCTTAGGGATTAAACCCAGCTGCTTGTAAAGCAAGTGCCTACCTGCTGTACTATCGCTCCAGCCCCAGACAATTACTACTAAAGTGAAATACCAGGCCGGTAGTAAAAATGTCTGAGTGATGAAACACAAACACTTTTTTAATAAGCTGAGCAGGTGATTAAGAAAATCCAACCTCCCTTTCCCATCATCCTATCAAGTCTCTAGGAAATTACATGAATTATGATTTTATTGATTGCTCAGACAGAAAAAAAAAGAAAAATCTGTTCATGATAGATTGAATTACCTCTTACTAAACAGCAACCACCCCCCATACATTCAGTGGTACACAACCACTAATGATGAAGATCAAACTCAGGGCCTTGAATTTACCAGGAATGTGCTCTACCACTTTATAGCCAAACCTTTACGTTGGAAGCCCTGATATCATTCTAATTTTATTCCTTTTCCTATTTTAAAATAAACCAAACAATTTCCAAGACAAAAGCACATACATTTAGAAATATTTATAGACCCAACACTTAAAAAAAGATTTGGGATAGCCAATATTATTTAGCCATATATGAAAACTAATGAAATAGCAACGTACCAGATAAACAATAATTTGAGCATCATCATGAATTCTGACTTTGTAGTAAGTGGAAAAATAAACATTTTTGGGTAATTGGAGCATTCTGTAATTTAGTATCAAGACATTTAGTCTACTTTAAAGTATTGACTCCATGCAAAGTGCATGAAGATAAAATATAATTTAACATAAAAACTATTTAAAAATTAGATATGTTAAAGCTTTTATAAGATTTTTGTTTGTGTGTTTTGAGGCACATTTGGTAGTGCTCAGGCGATTACTTCCACCTTGGTGTTCAGGGGGGTCTCTCTTCCCGTGATACTTGGGACTGATGAAGTACCCAGGGACTCAGCATGCAAAGCATGCACTCAGACCTTTGAACTATCTTCCTGATCCTGTTGTAATATATATAATAATCTAGACTACACAAAAGAATATTATTTTCACAGGGGTCACTCCTGGTCATTCTCAGTCTAGTGGTGTGGGTAGGTGCTTCGGTCCAGCAGTGCTGTAAGATCAAAACCACAGGTTCATACCTGGCAATGCTCTGAAAGGTTATACAGTGCCAAGTATTAAATTCAGGGTGCTGTTTAAGTTACTTTCCCTTCTAATACTCATTACTGCTTTTATAACTCCTTACATTTATCTTTTAACTCTTTAGAATCTGATTTTTTTATTTTTATGTATTTGAAAAAATTAATCCACTTTGTCTCCTCTGAACATAATAGAATTAAACTGTAGGTTGATAACAAAAGTATCACAGTACTTTCTGCAACAGTCAGAAATTAAACAGCATACATATATTCTTTGAGTAAAGAAGAAAACCATTTCCCAAGAGAATCAGGAAATATTTTTAAATATTTTGAACAAAGGTTTTACAGACAAGTTATAGTATTAAATGCTTGTTTCAAAATTTTTTACTGTTCAAATCACCGTGAATAACCATTGTTATTAAGTTATTAACCATTAAGTATTAAGTCTCAGGAAAACAATGGTTCCAACACCAATCCCTTATGCTTTTTTTTTAATTTTTGGTTTTTTTGGGTCACATGCGGTGATGTAAAGGCTTACTCCTGGCTCATACACTCAGGAATTACTCCTGGCCGTGCTGGGGGAACCATATGGGATGCTGGGAATTGAACCTGGGTATGCTGCGTGCAAGTTTCCTACCCGCTGTGCTATCACTCCAGCCCCCCCGCCCCTTATGCATTTTTAAAAAGAAATATCCTCAAATTAGTAATCCAAATTTCCACCTCAAGAATAAAGAAAATGAAAAGCAAAAGCACAATATGCCCCAGTTAAGCAGAAAAACAAAACATGACATTAAAGGGACAAAATCAACAACACTGAAAACAAAATAAACAGTGGGGGGAATAAAATAAACAAAAAAACTGAAAATGGAAAAAGGAGAAATGAGACAAGTTACCACCATCAGAAACCATAAGAGAAGCTCTCACCATAGACATCCCCTCAATATTAAAGGGATTACAAGGGCCTGTATTATTAGCACATTACAAATACAGCATCTCAGAGTGCCTGTCATGAATTCAAATCTCCAGTGTCCCACATACATCCTGTACAATACTGGAAGTTCTGCTGTCTGTGATCCCAGTGCCACAGCAATTTCTTGCCACATCACAGGCAGGTGTGTCACTGGCACAAACACGGGGGCACCCCCTTGCCCCCCCCACCCGCCGTTGAGCATCACAACTGAAAAGACATACAAGCTATACGAGCACCACGGCAAGAAGTGCAAAACATTACAGAAAACCCTTGCAAACATCACGACCGCAACTTGTGTGCCCCAACTAGGAGTGCAAACCATACTTGGAAAGCACATGTGCAAATACCACAACCTATGTGTGATCCCTGGAGAGCACTGCATTAAAGAAAAGTTCAAGATCACAGCCAGGTGTGTGTGTGTAACCTTCAGTCAGCACAATAATGAGGGTAATCCAGTGGCAGGATAGCAAGAAAAAAGGAAGATTTTTAAAATAGCTTTTTGAAATATTTTTAAAATATTTTAAAAGGATTATAAACCACAACCGAGTTTCCCTGACATGCAGATCCAGGAAAAGTGTAATTTTTAAAATTTTTATTTATTTATTAATTTTTGCTCTTTGGGTCACACCTGGCGATACTCAGGGGTTACTCCTGGCTCATGCACTCAGGAATTACTCCTGGTGGTGCTCAGGGAACCATATGGGATGCTGGGAATCGAACCTGGGTCGGCCATGTTGGCTGCGTGCAAGGCAAATGCTCTATCCGCTGTGCTACCGCTCCAGCCCCCGAAAAGTGTAATTTTTAAGGCACATTTTTTTAAAGTTTTAAAAGAATTTTGAGAAACTGAACATAAATTTAAAAACTTACACTGAACTTAATAAATTAAAAAAAATAGCCTATTTCTTTTGAGAACTACTAAATACTTAACCCAACCAAGATAACCTAGAGAATTCTAAAATGCTTTATGAATATGAATATTTTTTAAATTGAATATAAATTTTAGACATGAGAAATATGGTATCTAACATTTAAATTTCTCTAAACAGAACAGAGATAACATAAAAGAATTGGAAATTAAGAGTCCCTTTACTATTCTCCTTCTCTCTCACATATTGTGGTTGTTTTGTTTATTGCTTTTCTTGAAGTCTTTATTTATTAGCAAGACGGTTTCTTGGAAATAAATTTCTTTTGCTACTGCTGTGTGGGGCTGGAGCGATAGCACAGCGGTAGGGCATTTGCCTTGCACGCAACCAACATGGCCGACCCGAGTTCGATTCCTCCGCCCCTCTCGGAGAGTCTGGCAAGCTACCGAGAGTATCTCACCCACATGGCAGAGCCTGGCAAGCTCCCCGTGGTGTATTCGATATGCCAAACACAGTAACAACAAAGTCTCACGACGGAGACGTTACTGGGCCCGCTCGAGCAAATCAATGAACAACGGGAGGACAGTGACAGTGACTGTGTGAAAAGCTCTTTATTCAAATATTAGTGATAGCTAGTAAGGTATTATTCTCACACACATGTCAAGTACTCTACATTCTGAGCTACACCCCTATCTTATCTTAAAGCTTCAAGGGTTCTTTTTTTTTTTACTTTTTATTTATAATGATTTTTGTTAGGGTCTACTTGGAACTCTGAGCTTACTGGATCTGGGTGTCAAACTCCTTTCTCAAATTAGAAAAGTCTTCAACTTTCTTTAAGAATTCTTCTATTTCCCCCTTTTCTTCTGGAAACCCAATAATGTGAATGCTGCTCCTGATTTTATGACATACAGTGCATTATTTTCATTGCTCTTCCCTTTGCTGATCTTTTTACATGGCTTCCACTACTTTAACCGTTCTTCACCTTCTACCATTCTGCTGCTGAGCCTATTAGATTTTTTAACCAAGCGACTGCTTCCTGGAAGTGTCTAGGGAGTTTGGCTCCTGCTCACAGAGACTGAACCAAGGAACCCTGCATGGAAAGCAAGCACTCCTGCCCTCTGAGCTACCTCCCCCAACCAGCCTCTATATTCTTTAGCTCTGATATATTTGATCCTTTTTCAAAATTTCCCTCCAACTTCCCTTCTCTACTGAAGTTTACTTCTATTTCATTTCAGTGAACATAATTCTTTCTTTGACATTTTCTTCAGGTAGCTTGCATATATCTATCGTGTTAGAAATTCTTTCCAGGCCACTTTCTCCCCATCAGTGTAGGTGACTTCCTGTCTCTCCATTATATCTGGTGCACCATGAGGACATGGATAGGGCAAATGCCCTATATAGGAAGTCACTGGTTCTTACCCTATTGAGGCCTGAATCAAGCAAGCTTAGGCAGTAACTGGGAGTTTGGCAATGAATGCCTGGCACTACCTGTAGCACCAATGTTGAACAC